ACCCTCAGAAATAATACCACACATCTACAACCATCTGATCTTTGACAAACCTGACAAAAACAAGAAATGGGGAAAGGATTCCCTATTTAATAAATGGTGCTGGGAAAACTGGCTAGCCATAAGTAGAAAACTGAAACTGGATCCTTTCCTTACACCTTATACAAAAATTAATTCAAGATGGATTAAAGACTTAAATGTTAGACCTAAAACCATAAAAACACTAGAAGAAAACCTGGGCACTACCATTCAGGACATAGGCATGGACAAGGACTTCATGTCTAAAACACCAAAAGCAATGGCAACAAGAGCCAAAATTGACAAATGGGATCTAATTAAACTAAAGAGCTTCTGCACAGCAAAAGAAACTACCATCAGAGTGAACAGGCAATCTACAGAATGGGAGAAAATTTCTGCAATCTACTCATCTGACGAAGGGCTAATATCCAGAACCTACAAAGAATGCAAACAAATTTACAAGAAAAAAACAACCCCATCAAAAAGGGGGCAAACGATATGAACAGACACTTCTCAAAAGAAGACATTTATGCAGCCAGCAGACACATGAAAAAATGTTCATCATCACTGGCCATCAGAGAAATGCAAATCAAAACCACAATGAGATACCATCTCACACCAGTTAGAATGGTGATCATTAAATAGTCAGGAAACAGGTGCTGGAGAGGATGTGGAGAAACAGGAACACTTTTACACTGTTGGTGGGACTGTAAACTAGTTCAACCATTGTGGAAGACAGTGTGGTGATTCCTCAAGGATCTAGAACTAGAAATACCATTTGACCCAGCCATCCCATTACTGGGTATATACTCAAAGGATTATAAATCATGCTGCTATAAAGACACATGCACACTTAAGTTTATTGCGGCACGATTCACAATAGCAAAGACTTGGAATCAACCCGAATGTCCATCAGTGACAGACTGGATTAAGAAAATGTGGCACATAAGATCCGGCCACTGCACTCCAGCCTGGGCGACAGAGCGAGACTCCGTCTCAAAAAAAAAAAAAAAAAAAAAAAAAAGAAAATGTGGCACATATACACCATGGAATACTATGCAGCCATATAAAAGGATGAGTTCATGTCCTTTGTAGGGACATGGATGCAGCTGGAAACCATCATTCTCAGTAAACTATTGCAAGAACAGAAAACCAAACACCACATGTTCTCACTCATAGGTGGGAATTGAACAATGAGAATACTTGGACACAGGAAGGGGTACATCACACACCAGGGCCTGTTGTGGGATGGGTGGAGAGGGGAGGGATAGCATTAGGAGATATACCTAATGTAAATGATGAGTTAATGGGTGCAGCACACCAACATGGCACCTGTATACCTATGTGACAAACCTGCACATTGTGCACATGTGCCCTAGAACTTAAAGTATATTTAAAAATATTTTTAAAATGTAGAAGTTTACAATTCAGTAAATAGTAAAATTAATATTAAAATCCTATATGAAATATCAACATTATTATAGGAATTAATAAAATGCATTCAAGTATACCAACTAAAATTAAATCCCAGAAATCAAAAAGATAACTGTAACATCTGAAACTTAATAATTAATGAGCAAATATTTCATAGAGAAGGAAAAAATTGTCAAGACATGTGGAACATGTAGTTTTTTCCAATCAAATGTCACTAAACTATACAATATTTAACCTGTCATTAGTATAAATTACCAATATTTTGTGTAATATTACAACTGAGAACAATTTTTAAAGAGAGAACGGATACTTGCATACAAATGAACTAAATGGAATGTATTTTCAATGTTGGTCCAACCATTACACCTCTAACAATACCATGGTTTTGAGTGGGGCTTTGGAAAAAATATTTATTTTATTTATTTATTTATTTATTTTGAAACGGAGTCTTGCTCTTTCGCCAGGCTGGAGTGAAGTGGCGCCGTCTCGGCTCACCACAACCCCCGCCTCCCAGGTTCAAGCAATTCTCCTGCCTCAGCCTCCCTCTTTTTTTTAATTTAACAAATATTTATTAAGCACCTACTTTGTGCCAGGCATTGTGCTAGGCACCCTCACTGTGTGCTGTTCCCACACCCACAATCATCTGCTTAGAAATTAAAACCAAGTAATGCAACACCGTCGCAACCATACAAACTGGGGGGCTAGGGGCAGTATCGGAGATGCAGGTGATTCCCAGGATAGAATATGCACCCACCAGAAGCCTGTTTTCCATCTCTCTGTAAGTCCCCACTAAACAGTTCTTTTAAAGCTTCCCAATGTTGTTAGAGAGGAATGTTGTTCTCTCTGTGCGCCCCAAGGCTGGCACCTGGTGGACCTTCAGATACTCTGAATGCTATTGGATAAAAGGGGCCCGATGGCCTGGTGTAAAGAATATCAGTATTTGGATGAGAAAATGCTTTTTTTCATTTCATATGGTTCCAACAACCCTTATGAAAGATATAAACATCCCTGCCCTGACTATGGAAATGTTGAAGGTAGACCTGGTTGTGGATTCCCGAGTCAGAATCTTCCAGTTGTCCACACCCTCACAAGGCCAGAGAAGTGAGAGGAGATTTCTATTCTGGAAAGAGGTGAGTGGACGGCACAACTGGTTTGGAGACACGACAAACTGCGCCTGCATTTACAGAGGCAACGCACACAGGGAACGTCCTAGCGCCATCTGGTCTCCCACACACGCTTGGGACTCACGGGCGGGGCCTGGGCCTTGACCAGCCTTGGTTGTCAGTGCCTGGTTTGGAGAGTCCTGCACTGAATCCCTGCAAGTCGTGGATCTTCCCGTCCAGCACCTCCAGGAAGCTCTTCACCTCCACCTCCAGGGGGCAGTGTCGGGATTCGCTCTCCTCAGCCTCTGTCTTTAGGGAACGCGCTTTGTCTTCCTGGTTTTGATCCTCTCTCTGCCGCCTCCATCTTCTCAGAGATACCGTCGCGCTCTGAGGTGACCTGAGGTGTGAGTTCACTTTGTTTCCGGAGATCTTCCAGCTCTGCCTCCTTTTCTCGGAGCTCGGCCTCCAGCTCCTCCATCCTCCTCCTCAGCTGCGTGTTCTTCTCCTTCTCCCTGTGGATGTCACGGCCTCTTCCTCTGCTCCGCGCTGGCCGCCGACTCCTGCAGCGCCGTGGGCAGCCGGGCGTCGCTCTCCCGCCAGGCCTGCAGCTCCATCTCCCGCCTCTTCCCGTGGGCAGCGCCCTGCGTCGAGGCCGCCTTCAGCCTGTGGTTCCCAGACTGCAGGTGCCGGTCGGCTGCAGCGGCGTGAGAGGCCTTTCCATCGTCCGTCCCGTTGACACTGGATGCCGGAGTAGAAGATGGGGCTCCATTCCACGCCCGGGTTCTTGGGATGATCACTCGAGGGCTCCATGTTCTCCTGGGTCTTGTCTTTGGCTATCATGGCCGCTTCTTCCACCTCCTGGAAATTCTCTGCAAACTTTGTCAGCTGCTGCTCAGAGCAAAACCCCAAACCAAACGCCGTGTCAGCTCTGCTGTCGGCCCACTGCCCAGACGTCTGTGACGTGTTGGTGAAGGTCGTGTTTGGTGTGACTGTGCTGTTTATGGTCACCTTGGCTCCGTCCACACTGACGATCCCATAGCTGTTCCTTGTGACATCACAGAAGCAGGAAACGGTGACCGCCTGTGGCTCGCAGGCATCCAGTTCTTCTTGGTGTTGGGGTCAGTCTGGAAGACCCGCGTTCCGGGGTGAGGATGGGCTGTTCTCCCATCTCCAGCGCTGCTCAGGCAGCCGCTCCGACCCGGCCTCTGGTGCTCGCTCTTCACTGGCTGTGCATCCGCTCCCTGCGCAGCACATGTGCCGGCCCCTGTCCGCTTGGCTCAGCCCTGGCGCCACTCCATTCAGCCAAGTGGGCTGGGCGGGGGCTCTGGAAAAAATCATTCTAAGAGATAAACTAAAAGAATAATCTATAATAAGGGACGACAGGATTCTATCTCAGAAAAAAAAACAACTGAAAATACGTAATACAAAGTCCTGAGAAGAAATCTTGAAGCACAGGAAGGTCTCATGTATAGTAAGTTGTAATATGTTTATTGTTAAAATTATTACCTTTGCGTTGTTTCGAAAAATTGAAGCAAAGCATAATGAAATGAAGTGTTTTGTGCTTATGTTGTCCAACAGCATGTTGAGAAAACTGAAGAGCCCTGTAATCCTGAGGAGGAGGCCTAATCCAAGGAGGGAGAGGCTCCCGGTCCTGTGGACACACACGGTTTGCCTGCTTCTGCCCATGTAGGAGCTGCTTCCTGAAGCCTTCAGGAGGCAGGAGGGTGAATGAGTTTCTAAGGACAATCTAATCACATCGTGACGGGGAGAAAAACATTCATGACCTAGAACGGATAAAAAATGTATAATTAAAATTTCATTGAAAATTGAAAAACTCTGGTTGTATATATTTATAGTGAATAAAGTTATGTGATGATTTATGAATGCAATATGGAATAATTGATTCGAACTCATTGACATATATATCACCTTAAATCCTCAAATTTTTATTTTTGTGTGTGTCACAAGGACATTTGAAATTTGTTCTTGGCTGTTTGAAAATGACCAATACACTTTGTTTAAGGTTACAAATAGACATCAATTTATGTAAACTATAGGCAATGATTGAAAGGAATTGTGGATTGCTATAATTTATGTGTTTCATTCTTTAGGACATATTTTATATATTTTTATAATTTTACTATAATATTAAATATAAAAGACTACACATGTATGCATAAGTTTGTGTATTTACACGTATGTCTATAGATGTAAATTAATGTCCCTATAGCTATGTAGTAGCTAATATCAACATATGTTAACAAAACTCTAAAAGAACAAGTGCAAATTATTACAAAGAATTATTTCTCGATGTATTTTTAAAAAATACCCCTATATATAAATTAAAAATTAATAAAACACAATTCCCAATAAAAAAGTTCATGATAAATAAACATAGTAAAATATCGCAACTTAATAAGACTCCAGAGTCCTGCAAAAAGTAGCCTGCCTCCTGCAGATGAGAAAGGAAACCTGCATAGCCCTGCAGGGAGGTTTGTGTCTGGGCTCACACTGACCTCCCCTCACTGTGTACAGTAATACATGGCTGTGTTCTCGGTTTTCAGCCTGTTCATTTGCAGATGAAGTGTGTTCTTGGCGTTATCTCTGGGGATGGTGAATCGGCCCTTCCCGGAGTCTGTGAGGTATGTGCTACCCCCATTAGGATTAACTTGTCTAACCCACTCCAGCCTATTCCCTGGAGCCTGGCGGACACAGTTCATGTAGTAGCTACTGAAGGTGAATCCTGCAGAGGCTGCATAGGAGAGTCTCAGGGACTCCTCAGGTTTTGCCAAGCCTCCCCCGGACTCCACCAGGTGCACCTCACACTAGACACCTGCAACAGAGACACCCTGGTCAGAAACTGCTGCACGTATCCACTGTTTTTCTCACTTATGTCCGCTCACACTCACACATCTCTAGTTCTCTATAGATCACCTTTTAAAATATCAACAAGGAAAACCCAGCTCAGCATCAACTCCATGGTGAGTTCTCTGTGTTCGGTGTTGATCACCGAGTGAAAACACCTGGGAATTCTGGGGCTGGGCTCCGATCCCGGAGCTGCATGGTCACAGCTGGCCTGGTTTTTATCGGCAGAGGGAGGGCCCTATTGGCATGTCTCCTGCTATATAGCAAGCTCTGTGGTGGGACAGCTGCGGAGAAGGCAGTGCCCAGAGCAGATGAGAGTGTCCTAGAAAACACTGAAGGTAATCCTGGCTCCCTGGAAAATATAGCTTCAGATTTTGTGATTGTGCCTTGATAATCATTTAGCAGACATCAGCTTATTTAATTTTTACATATTTGCAGAATGTATTTAATGCAAGTGTCAATGTTACATTTTTAGAGAAGATAAATTACAGAACAGAGCAGTTGTACAATGTGTCCAATATCACACATCTGGCCAGAGTTAGCCCTGTTACCTGTGTCTGTACCTCTAAACGCCGGAAGAGACTGCTCCCCTGAGACAACTCCAGGCCAGTGTGGGACATGCCTAGAGAAGTTTTCAGGATGTCCCACCTGTCATAACACCTTTACGTAATTTTACCTTTTCTAGTGTTTACCTGAAATACACAGTCAGTGTTCACATGTGTGTATTTTCAGTAGTCTGTGATTATTCATGTGTCCATATTCATCTCTTTCTTGCTCTTTCTCAGCCAATATATTCATTTTTGTTACTGCTTTATTCTAAAACTCAGTCAATAATGAAATCAAATTGATAGTACGGAATTTGGAAAATGTTAATATATGTGTGCGGTTGTTGAATCAGCACTTCCATCATGTTTTAGCAATTAAATTAATCTCTAATTTTTTTGTCTCACTTCTTTGTAATTTTATTTCACCACCTTTTTACACTCACCACCCTATTTTCAGAAAAATTTAGATATTCTCCATGTTAATTTTGAATAGTTTCATCTTCTACACTTTATACAAATGAAGTAACATGAAGTTTCCTGTGAATTCTTTAGCTTCCTTCAGTCAGCACAATTATTTCATAATGTCCCCATGTTCTTATGTGAATGAGTCATGCCTTGATTTCAATGGTTCATTGTATTTCAGTACATGAAACTTCTCAAATTGTTCAACAATGCACCAAATAAGGAATATTTGATTTGTTGTCTTAGTTTCTGAATTTTATTTAGAAAGCAGATACTAAGCATGAGAATAGAAAAAAATGAGAAAATGATGATCTTATTCTAACCTCATTAACAAAAAACTTTAATGACTACAAAAGAATAAATCCTTCAACATATCTGAGTTGATGTCACAGAGAAATAGAAAAACCTGAAATCTGAGAAAATAGGGGCCTGCAGAGAGACCTGGGGTCCATCTATTAGAGTAGGTCTAATACCATGCAATGAATGGGTCAGGTCCCACTCATTGCATGGTATTGAAGATAGGAAAAAGCTAACCTGGAAATGTTTAATCAGTTGCTTGAGGACGTGTGTACTAATGGTACGAGAGTGTGAAACTCCCAGACTAGCAGGCTTTTCTTACAAATTTGGGGAAATCCCCAGACAAGTCACCCACCTGCTCTCCTGTGGTGTTGACTGAGGAGGAAGAACAGCAGCTCCTTTCAATGCTGAATCCCCATTCACTACATGTGGGAGACATTAAATTTTGTGTCCTGTGGGCACCGGTAGAATCAACTAGAACATAAGGAAACAGGACACCAAGGAAACTCTACCAGGACACACTTCCCATCTCTTTCCTGAAGAATGAAATCCTGAATCTGTGGGGTAAGTACAGTGGGTCAGAAGCTGAGGACACTGATGAAAAACCACTGTGGCTGGGAAGAGGCACTCTGACACTTGGCGAAGGGAAGGAGCAGGAACGCTTGTAAGACCATGCTTCAGAGCGAGTCTCACCACCCGTAGCTAAGAAGGAGGTTCGGTCAGAAGGTTGGAGAATGTCCTGCTGTGTCCGAGCCCCTTCACCACACAAACAATCACCAAGTACAAATGTCAGTGGGATGCACCTGCCACAGCTGAAAGACACAGGCTCTCTCTGGGGAGAATAAAATGTGAAGACCCAAAGTCAAACGGACCAAATGCACGTATCACTGGAGGAACCTGAAGTTTTTGTGAACAGAAGAAGCTGACTTCAACTCTGATAGCCATGGCAACAACACACTTGAAACCCAGCCCTGACTAGATTCCCAGAAATGTGGTTATTAAAAGCCCAGCAGAATGTATTGTGTGATCATCTCCAGGAAGAAAATAATAAATATAGGAAAATAATTACAAGGGAAATGCAAACTGGAATTCTACGTGCATTACAATTTCATTAAAAGTGAAAGGCAAATAAAATTATGTCATAAAAAAGATCTTGAGACAATTTGTCTGCACATTCATGTTTCAGGGCACAATTTTACAAAGTTTCTCTGCTAGTAGCCATGTGCTATGAGTTCAAACATAGATCTATACAAAGAAATTAAGACTGTGAAAAATGGGAAAATCAAGATGAAGTACAGTTTTATCTTTGTAATTGCTATAATATAGAACTGTATACATCAGTAAAAGATTACATATTATATTTTATAACATTGTTAAGTGCAAACTGAGAATAAACCAGAAAGAGTGGTGAGAAGGAGGAATTGAAAGCACACAGTTACACTATCTCTGTACTTCATATCAAGGCCATCACAGTGTTTGCATTAGAATCGAATTACATACAGTTCTTATTGTAAACCTTATGGTAACCAATACTATATTTATAAAAAGTGAATTGTATAATCTGTTAATAGAGAAATAAACATCATTATAAAATGCTAATTTAAACAAAGAATGACAGAAACAAATATTAGTTTAAAAAATAGAATTCATTATAGTTGTTTTAAAAAAGAAAGACCCAACTATTAGCTATGTACAAGAAAGTTATCCTACATATTCACAAATAGAAAAAGATGGGAAAACATGGATTATGAAAATATGAACCAAGAGAAAGCTATACTAGCTGTGTAAATTTCACACAAAGTAGACATCAGAAAAAACACTTTTAGGACTTAACAGGGATTACATAGGATAAAGTTACAAGTTTTTAAAAAGACACCAAAAAAGACTCACCAAAAGTGTAATAGATGAAGAATGCACCATTCTTTGTGATTTCAGAACAAACGTGATAACAGAAGTAAAGATGTCAGTGAGACCATGCATGTAAGAGTGCACGTAAAAACTTCCTCTTGAATTTCTCCCTGTTGCCACCACACCAGCCCTGGTCCTGGAGCCTGCTGGACCAAGCTGATGCTACAGTCAGTGAAGGTGAATCCAGAGGCTGTGCAGGAGAGGCTCAGTGAACCGCTGGGCTGTACAATTTTTCCACCTCAGACTCCACCAGGGAACTTCACACAGGTCTTCTGCAAACAGAGAGAACAGACTGAGAACAGCCCCATGTGGAGCAGCCACAGCTGGACCTGATTCATAAAGGCCACTAATATTGAGGGTGATGAGGAGGGAAGCCCAGATCAGTGCAGACCCCACGGTGTGGACACTGAGGAAGGGCACAGACATGGAGTGGCTCCTCCCCAGGGCCTGAAGGAACAGGGGATGAGCTGCCTTTCATAAGGAGGGGAGGGGACACATTTCCACATCTTTCTTTTTGTGGTCATGGGTGCACTGCTCAGCATTGCTCATCCATCCTCTGCTTCTACATTTCAGGGAGGGCAGGGTGAAAGGATTCCTGGTTCTGGACAGGGTTAATCTGCCCATTACTCTTTTTCATTCTCTAATGTGGATACTATTCAGGTATCTTCATAGCAACAAACATTATAGACAAAAAAGACAAGTAAGAACATAAGAAATACATTTTCAGAGAAAACAGACATCTGTCTGTAATCAGTACATTTAGAGCTAGAAACCAGTGTTCCTGACAATGAGGCAAAGTTAAGTTGAAATGAAAAAAAATACATATCTACACCTTGTCAGGAAGGAGTTTTATAATTGTCATTCTCGTGAGATCAATTTGCCACAAAATTATTCAACATTGGATATATGTGCTTGTGTCAGGAAGCAGTCAATGTGGAAATGTGTGCACTTATCTGAGTGAAGAGTTCACATGGAGACATGTCTGCTTGTTTGAGACAAGAGTCCACATGAGGAAATGTCTGTTTCCTGAGGAAAGAGTAAATGTAAGGACATATGTGGTGGTCTGAGGAAAGAGTCCATGTGGGGACATGTGAGTTTGTCTGAGGGAAGAATCCACGTGAGTAAAGGTGTGTTTGTCTGACAGAAGAGCCCACATGTTGACAGATGTCTGTACCCATCTGAGGGTAAATGAAAGTTCAGGGACAGTGCATGCCTGAACTCAGGGAAAACTTTTCTGAACCAAGGAAAGAGAAGAATGCTCTGGGTTGTTTGCTTGTCAGGAAGAAAAAACCTGAATCACGTAGAAAATTGATTTTTTAAATTAAAGGTCTTCATTGAATGGAAACATTGTATATGCAAGTCAGGAAAATTACTTCATTCTTTCTTGCATGCATCTCATAACATTCCCACACTCCCAAATACATTATTAGATAATTTTATAAAGTATGTATTTAATCCAGGGGTTAATGAATTGCTAAATATATTTCAATTGTATATATTTAGGTTTACATTTTCCATCACAAAATTATGAGCTTAGATAAATTAATTGTGTCATGTCTCAACCATTGCATATCACCAGAATATTCTTATTCTTCTTAAACAGAGCCTGTTTTACTTATTGTAACAGAATTTCAGACTGATGAAACTATACCGTGTAATTGAAACGACTTCACAGAAGAAAGTGGAAAATGAAGTTGCTGATCTAAGTAACTTTGAAAATAAGGAGGTTCTATAAGTTTTAATTGTAAACAAACCGCACATCGGCACTCTATTCTAGTAGATAAACATGTTTCCTACAAGGGTATAACTTTACATTTCTGATGCCATTCTGCATGTGTCCTGAAATAAGTAATAAAATGACATATGATGGGATTGGGGATTCCTCACTTTGCAGTGGGTGGTTATGGACACTCGAGGAAGGAAGGTTGGAAAGGTCTTTATGGTAGCATAGCTGGGTGGAGAGTCCAGTGTCTTCTCATTTTTAATGTAATCAAGTTACAGAAGATTAGATACATAAACAGTTTTGAAGTGTCTGTAAACATGGGTTCATATAAACATGCACATTTACTAGGCCAATTGGTTGAGAGGTCCCAGAAGTACTTATACGACGTTAACAACACACATACCCAGTATCACAATATTTTATTTTAATATTATTCTTTAAAGCCAGAAACAAGGAATCTTTATTAAAATGGCTAATTCTATGTATGAAAAAGGTAATATAGAAAACGAGCTTAGAATTTTTTGTAATACCAGGAAGTAACAAAGTGTTCAAAAACAGAAGGATGAAGTGGGCTGTAAGGATGTAGGATCCAAACTAAATCAGCTCCCGGTACCTAATAAAGCTTTGGCGATTTGAACAATAAAATGAATAATGCAGTGTGGATCTGTTTCAGAGTATGAAATAGCTATCCATAAGCCAATACAGATATTATTAGATGATTAAATAAAGAAACAATGGGAAGAAGAACACATCTCCTTACAGAATTCTTCCAAACACCTCAGGAGGATAGTCCTCCAATCAAAAGGTGAAGGTTAAACACTCATGAGTTGATTGTGGCCTGAGATTAGAGACATGGGAAAAAAATCACTAATACTGTATTTTATAATGAGACTTCAGATATAATGCCAAATACATGACGTACGAATTAGTTTTCGTTTATGTTTTTGTCTACATTTGTGCAAACACACACACAAACACACACATTTTTCTGCAATACCCCCTGATAAGGGAGAAAAAGGCAACCACACACTTGGAGAAAATACTTCCAAGTCACATGTTTGTTAAATCAATTCTTTTAATTTGTTAAATGACTTTTATAGTCAATATGCAAGTAAACTTACAACTAATCAAAACAAAACAATGCAGTTAAAAAGGAACCAAATATCAGGAGAGGCATCTCACCAAAAATTATATAAAAATTGTTAAATATGAATTTTTTATGAGGGAAGTGTGCATTTATATAAATACTAGATAACATTACTCACCTATTAGCGTGGCTAAAACTCACTATTCTCATGATGATAAATGGAAATATGAATGTGGAAAAACAAGAAATATTATGCATTGATGGTGGGAATTCAAAATGTTACACGCACAAAATGAGATTCTTGGCATTTTTTTAAATAGAGATAAAAATAGAGTTAAAATGTGCACTTGTGTTTGGGTTCCAAAATATTTACAACATTGATTCAGAAATTGATGTTTACAAAGATTGATTCAGAGGAAGTTCTGTATCAGATTTCTTAATTTGGTTCATTCTACAATCCCTGAAATTTGCTCACAGAATAAATGTCATGTGAAAAATCTCTCAAATAACTAAAATCCCATCCACTCAAGCCCTTGTCCAAGATTCTGTCGCACCCAGTGCATAACATAGCTGGTAAAGGTGTATCTGGAAGCCTTCCAGGAGACCTTCACTGAGGACCCAGGCTTCTTCACCTCTGCCCCAGACTCCACCAGCTTCACCTGGGAGTGGGCACCTGTGGGGAGGACACAGGAATGAATGAAAGCCCACTTGACTGAACTCAATCCCCTTCGGGAACCCCTTACCTGTACCTACTGCCACCAAGAAGAGGATCCTCCAGGTCCGGTCCATAATGAGGAGCTGTGCTCTCAGGGGCTTCTCTGGGGGAGGGATGTGCTTATTGGGTGATGCTCTCAAGGCTGAGATATATCCATATTTACCTCCGTGGATCTCAGATTATTCATATATTCATGAGTCAGAGCATTTCATTGCTCAAGACTCTGATTCAGGATAAGAAACAGTAGATGAATGACACATCAGCCTTACACGAGTGGGATTCTGATGGTCCAAGCCCTAATCCTGCTTAAAGAAACGGATGCCCTGCTCCATTAACAAATTTTTGTGGCCAGACACCCTTTCACTGAAAAGCAAGCACCCAGAGGACATGCTCCTCACTGTGAACCCACATTTGATTAGCATGGAGACCACACGGAGGATTTCTGGAACCATCACTCTTCATGACACTGACCAGGTGCTGTGACCCCATCCTGGTCCCATCAGGCACCAGCCACAGCTCATTGGTGACTCTGAGAAAGTGAGTGCTGATGTCCCACGTGAGTGTCCAGCAGGTCCCTCTGAGATCTGCTGGGCGCTCCCGAGACAGTGTCTCCAGCACCTGCCTGGCATGGTAATCCACCAGGATCTTCAATAGAACCACCCATGGTTTACAGATTTGCCCCGTAATGCATAATTAGAGTTGATTTTCTCGTCTCACAGAAAATAGGAATCAAAAGATGGAAAAGAACTTTAGAGTTCTTTATGAACTCACTACTCCAAAAATAATTGTCAAGGAATTCGTGTTTTGAATAAGTCTGGGTTTTATTTCCTACTCCATTTAATAGAATTTCATGAAGTGTTTATGTACTTTCAGTTCATGCCCATAGATCCTCATCTTTACGTATTGGTTTCTGACTCACTGGGTCTGTGTACCTGCCACACTCTCAGATCCATCACTGTCCTGTCAAATGCACAATGTGGGCAACATTACCTAACATGGAAATCTGAATTTTTTTATTCATAGAAATATAGTGACTCCCACAATTCTGTATCCATTCAATTAGTAAAACCATTCCTATCATTTATATCATCACTATTAAGATATTTATTGTCCTAGAAACACACTTTAAAAATAGTTCTCGTTGCCTTAAGTTATATGAATGGTTCCGATGTAACAGAATATTTAAAGGCACATCAGCAGCTGGTTGAACACTTAGTTTTGTTGTTGTTGTTGTTGTTGTTGACAAAGGAAGACACAGGCCCTGAGAGGAAACCTCCTCCCCATCCTTCTGTACACCTGCTCTGGGGTTGGAACCTGTGCTTGGTGGCTCCTGAGTGCCCCCTCCAGCCCAGCCTTGCCTTGCAGTGAGGTTTCTGCAGTGGCTGTGACCTTGACCAGGCGTCTCCAGGGGAAAAGCTCTACTTTCGTCTTTACTCCCTTTTGTGGTTTCAGTGTCCCTGGACTATTTGCTTACATCTTACCTGGATACATGTTACCTGGACTATTTACCTGGATTTGCTTACATCTTACCTGGATTATTTGCTTATCTTACCTGGATTATTGCTTACGTCTTACCTGTCTATGGACTATTTTCTTACATCTTCATATACTCATGGAAGAATGGGGGAGGGATCTGGAATGGAAGATTTGTCTTCCTTCACATAGGATAAGGTTCTGGAAAAGTTATTCCCTGTAGGAACTTTTGGAGAAGGCTCCCAGCGTATTTTTCAGTAATTAAACTTCCCCACTTCTGACCCAAAGGAAACCTATTTGAATGTATTGTTTCAAATCTGGAGGTTTCTGGAGGGAAAGTCCAGAAGACTGAGGAGTGTATGGCCCTCTGGAACTGTCACTTCACCCTAGTCCACATCTGTCTTGCAGTGCTTACCATGTAAGTGCCCTCAACAGCGCTATATATATATAAATATATAAAGTGTGTGTGTGTGTGTGTGTGTGTGTGTGTGTGTGTGTGTGTGTGTGTATGACACTTCCTTTACTGGAACAGAAACAGCAGAAATATTTCTGCAGCTTCTGTTCCAGTAAAGCTAGTGTGAACTGCCATTCTGGACATGCCTGTCTCCCCAGTTTTGGGAGTGGGCAATTTTTTATTGGAATTTCATTCCTTTGATGAATTCCCAAAGGTACTGAAGATCAGATTGTGTAGATACCTCTTGACTTAAGAATGAGGGTGATGACTTTTGTAATCTTTACATTTTGGAGCAAAGACCAAAAGTGCAACCAAAGGTCCTCTTCATGTTACTGGAGCTAGGATTCTAACCTGATTACATAGATGTGGTACCTGGTCTGACATAAATGAACAGGCAAGGCAACAGAGAAATGACATGGCAGGAAGTTTATGAAAAGTCTCAGCAATTTTAATTTTCTTCTGAGGAAGCAGAAACTGTGAAAGTAAAACAGTGTGACTGGTCATGTCTCAGGTGATGTTCTGTTCTGGAAAGTATCTCCAGTCCTGGGCTGGATCTAGTGGGTGCACCTGGGCACCCAAACCTGAAATAGTGGCTCTTATTCCTTAAACACAAGACATTTCAATGAGAAAGCTGTTCTCAGTTGAGCTTCAGAGCAGGGAGGAGGAGATGGAGGTGTCCTTGGCTTCTCAGAATTACTGAAGCTTGAAGACCAAGGCCACCTCTGACAAGCAGAAATCCACTATAAGCGCATCACATCAGCTCTGTCTTCAGGAATCTTTAACTGTGTGGGAGGCGAAGGAATGTAATTTATTCCTTTCTGCTAATGCAGTGTGCTTCAGAGAAAATAAATTGAAAATTTAATATAGTTTTTTTGCCATAATAGGGGAGAGAATATGAATAACTCATAGCAATACAAGTGCTCACTCCAGAGCCTGCAGAAGGAGCAAGTGCACAATTGACAGAAGGAAGCGCCCTGCCCGAGGAAGCAGGAGCCCTAGAATCCTTCCCTGAGAACTGCCCTCCAGATGCCACGTGTCAGTGGAAACTGGGCCCGTGCCTGGGATCTTGTGCATAGTGTGGAGAGCAGAGCACAGCTCCATTCCTCCTCACTGTGTGACCTGGGATGTGACCTCTTCCTCTGAGCTTCATTCCAACTAGGTGATAAAATGAAATAACAGCCTTAACTTTACCTGTAACCTTTCTGGTAAGAGCCAGTGATATTCAGAATTGTTATCACTATTGTTGTCCAAACCCTTAAATATCATGAAAATACCTGTGTGACCCCTCGTCTCAGACCTCAGATGACCACCTCGCAGAGAGCACACCTGCTTTGTTTCTGTCACAGACATGTTATTAGAACTGGAAAGTATGTGTACCTTGTTATAGAATTTATCTTAGTTATGTTACACTGGATGATGTTAGAATTAGTGACAGAAGTTTAGCTGATGGGATATCTAAGCAAACTATCGACGGTGTGTCTTCATTTCTCCCTGCTTATTATAGATAATGTGAGAGGAGAGAGAAAAATTAAAGGGAAAACTATTGACCAATAGTCAGGTGTTTTATAAACAAAGGAGGTTTTCACATCTTTAAATTAAACCCCATTAAATTAAATAAATTAAGGAATTTTAAGACATTTTTCCACATTCTAGATACATGTCTAATACAGAGTTAGTTAAATGCAAAAAGAGATTAACACAGAAAATGGAAATTCAGCAACAGATAATTTTGCCAAATAGGCAGATTTAAACTAGTTTGGAAATTTACCCATATATTCAAAGAATAAACTCCAGATTCAAATAAGAAATGATAAAATGTCTATGTTTAATGACTGGTTGAGAGAAGTTTGAACGAACATTATTTTGATGAATCATACATCAATAATAAAACTTTGTCCAGTGGTCCACATTTTCAAGGGGCTGCTTGAGTAAATCGTTTCTACCTCCCCTACCTGTGATTTCTGGCAGAATCTATCATCCTCTAAAACCCAGGGACCATTAAGAACAGAGACAGAAGTTTGAATACTACGAAGTTTTGAGAGACCCAAATTACTGCCTGGACTGATTGGTGAGGGTGATCTCTACAAGCCTCGTCTTTGAAGAGTGTATGGTGGCTTTTGTTATAATGAACAGGTAGCAACAAAGGCAGTCAAGGAAAATGAAGGAGGAGGGGAACATGGTCCAAACAGAAGAACAACATAAAGATCCAGCAACTGATATCAATGAAAAGGAAGCATATGGATTACCTGGAAGAAAATTTAAAGTAAATGTCAGAAACAAGTTCAATGAGCTAGTGGCAGCATGCAAGAACAATGTGAGAATTTTAATAGAGATAAAACATTTAAAAGATGACTAAACAAAAATATTGATGCTGAAGTCAGCCAAAAATTTTAACAGAGGATTTTAGACAGACTAGATCAAGTAATAGAAGAAACAGTAAATCAAAAAGATCGTTAACTAATAGAGACAGAGAAGAAAAATTTAAATGAAAGAAATAAAAGGAGTAAGACTTATGTTCTTTAACACACTGAAAACTAAATATGCATTGAGATTATGCAAAGATTAATAAAAAGGTAGTGAGGAAGAGGGCGAGACAGAGAGACGGAGAGAGAGAAGGCAGAAAGGTTTCAAAGAAGGAATAGCATAGAAATTTTCTAAATCGGAAAGCAAATATTCATCCACATCCAAGAAGCTCTATATATTTAATAAGGTGAACCAAATGAGAAAGATCAGAGATAGTATGAAACCACGTTGCTAAAAGGAAAGGTTTTTGAAAACAGAAAGAAAATGAGCAGATTTAGCAGATTTCTCAGCAGTAGGTTTTCAGTTCAGAATGGAGAGGAATTATATTTGATAATGTATGGTTTAGTGATAGAGATTATTTCGGAAAATGTGTTTCTAGTCAATGTCATCATTGTGCAAGCATCATAGGGAGAACTTACACAAACCTGTAAAGAATACCCTACTACACATAGGCCATTTGAAACAGCACAAAGTTTCCAGACAACCAGCCTGTACAGGTGTTACTGCTCTGAACACTAGGAAACTGAAACGCCGTGGTAAGTATCTCTCTCTATCTAAACACATATAATATGGAACACCTTTAGTGAAAATACAGTTATTACAATGTTATGTGGCCCACAAGAT